CTTTAGACGTCTTCCGGTCGGCAAACAGCTCAGTGTCTCTCCTCTCATGCAATATATGGCAGAGTTCAGTCCCTGTAACTCTCAGTCATGTTTCATACAGCAGTATAAGCAGCACACGTTTATTCAGCACATTCACACGGCACTGTGAGCAGAAGTGATGCACCGTTTTTATCTTCCTTTGGTAGTTTCAGATTACCTGGATTTACTCAGTTAAACATTTACAGCAGTTCGAAGAGGATCACACAATCATGTAAATAAGTCACATAAAAATACCTTTATTAGTCTGTAAAAATGCACATGCACAATGTGCAAAAGCCAATATACACAATCTTATTATATCTGAGCGAGTGTGTCTGTGTGTTTGGCTCCCTATTAAGTGGGAGGTTTACTGTAGACTTGATGGTGTTCATCTTGTTTTGTCGGGACACTGGATTTTGTAGCTCTCACGCTGCTGCTTCAAATCGAACCAAGAAAGGGACTTTGGTCAAACACACTTATGGTCTCACTCCAGTCTATGAGCTTGCCCCCCCGCCAAAAAAATACCCTTCGGATCTAGACGATTCACATAAATTACATATTTTGATTCAAAACGGCAAATTTCGCTGAAAAGCGACTAGTTTGCAGGTATGAAATATATGAAATATACAGGTAGATGTCATGCTAAATAAAGTGCATGAAATGAAATCAAAATAAAACCAATTAAATCCAACGGAAGTGCAGAATTCCGATTCTGATTCTGAATTAAGTTAAAATGAATCTAAGTGACTGAAGTGAACTGAATGGAACTAAACTGAATTAATATGAACTGTAGCTGAACTGGAATTAATTAAATTTCAACCTAACTAAAGTGTACTGAATTGAACCTAAGTGGAACTACACTGAATTAACCTAAATGGAATTAAATTCAACTTAAGTGCATCAAAAATGAATTAAACCAAGTTTATTTGCCTAAACAGAAATCAACTGCATTATGCTGAATTTAGTTGCAAGTTGAATTAAACTAAAAGGAACTAAACTGAATTAAGATTAACTTTAATCCAGAATAAAGTAAAGTAAACTGAATTCAACCTACTGGAACCAAATTGAATTCAATTTCAACTGAATTGAACTGTGAAAGTCCAAAACTGAACGAGTCAAACTGAATTAAATTCAACTTAAGTAACTGAAGTGCGCTGAACTGAATTAATAGAACTGAATTAAACCGAATCTAACTGCAACAAGTGAAATGAATTGCATAGTACTGAATTTAATTCTGTACTAATTTTTAAAAACAAAATATTTAAAAACAAAATCACATTCAAAATATTAACAAAAATGATTATAGTATATCAATGATACTAAAATAACACTAACTGTAGCTGAACTGAAATAATGTAAACTGAACTGAATTCTACCGGAACAGAACTGAATTGCATTGAACCAAGTAAAAAAAATAAATAAAAAAATTTGCATTAGAAATCACATTAAAAGGCTGAAATTCTGAAGAAAAAAACTTTGTAAAAATATTCATTATCAAAAAATGCAATAATAAATAAAAAATACTTTAAAAATAAACAAAAAATAATTAAAGGGGTCTTATGACGATGTTAAAAAGAACATTATTTTGTGTATTTGGTGTAATGCAATGCGTTTATGTGGTTTAAGGTAAAAAAAACACATTATTTTCCACATACTGTACATTATTGTTTCTCCTCTATGCCCCGCCTTTCTGAAACGCGTCGATTTTTACAAAGCTCATCGTTCTGAAAAGCGAGGTGTGCTGTGATTGGCCAGCTATCCAGTGCGTTGTGATTGGCCGAATACCTCAAGCGCGTGACGGAAATTTTATGACCCTTAACATATTTGGAAACACACAGCGTCTCCACGACAACAATACTACAGCGAGAATAAAAGTTACGCCTTCTTTCTTTGCGTGAACATTTGGGCGGCGTTATGCAAATCGTCCAACACAGTGACGTAGACATGTGGGGGCGTGTTTAAACGAGGCGTTTTAGGAGGGCGTGGACCAGTCTTAACTTTAAGAAAGAATATCTCTTTGGGTTTGAGACTTTAGTCTTTGCTACTTTACAGATCTTATATATGCACGAAAAGCTCGTAAAAGACAAAGGAAAACTTGAAATCGCATCATATGGCCGCTTTAATTCATTAATAGATAAATACATTTACATAGCTTGATTTACATGAATCTGAGATGTAAAAAACAAAACTAAATGAACCTGAAATGAAATTCATTCAGCTGAAATTCATTACACCCAAGCTGTATTAAAGTGAACTGAATGGATTTAAATGCTGGTCTGACTGAACTCAGTGGAGCTGAAGTGAATCACACTGAACTGAATCACACCGAAGTGAATCACACTGAACTGAATCACACTGAAGTGAATCACACTGAACTGAATCACACTGAACTGAATCACACTGAAGTGAATCACACTGAGGTCTCACACCTGTGCAGTTGTGTAGATCTGCAGTGATTGTGTACCCAGCTCTGCAGACGCAGCTGTACGTCCCCGGCTGATTCATGCAGTCGTGTTCACAGAGTCTGTTATCCTGAGTGCATTCATCCACATCTGAGCAAAGCACAGTCACAAGCTTCATCATCATCATCATCAGAACCTCACTCAGACTGCATGGATGCAGATCTCAGACTGACCGTAGCAGGAGTGTCCGTCTCCGCTGTATCCCTGAAGACACTGGCAGAAGTACGAGCTGATGATGTTCCCACAGCGAGCATTAACGTCACAACCGTGATCCCCGGTCAAACACTCCTTTATATCTGTGTGGATACATCAATAATCAGATTTAGTTAGTTTAGTATCCTTGGGATACTATTACAGATTTCATGAATAGTTTGGATTCGTTTTTTATTTTAATTTTTGTTTAAAAAAAAATTGTAATTTTTAGTAGCTTTTGTTTGAAGTTGTCATGAAATTGTGCATAAAAAGGTTATTAATACACTATTTGGGAGGTAAAAGTTGTAAAAATAACAATATATGCATGCAAAAGGGGTGAGATCCACCCTGAATCTAACCTGGCCTGTGGTCTGCTGTGTGTGGCTGTATTTCAGAACTTCATTCTCTTCTTGTTCAGCGCTGAGTCACAAACAACATGAGAAACACTGACAGAAACCACCTGACTGACAAGACATCCTGCAGAGGAACATCATTCATTCTCAATCTGAGACACCAGAACCATCAAACATCTGAACAAATGCAGCAGAGGAACCAATAAAACACAAAGAGCTCCATAACACTGCTGCAGGTTTGGGGTTCGAGCTGGTGCCTGGTGTCAAGCCCAGACATGAAGCAGACAGACATCATCCTTCTCTAACAACACACACTTTCTCATACACAACCTCAAGACATTACATAGCCTATGTATATTTGTCATGATGCTGGATGCTGGACTTCTAAACGACTCTTTTGACTGACTCGGGAATCACGACTCCCGAATGAATCCTGAAGGAGTTGCTCAGAATCGAGTCCCGCTTAAACAATAATGTAGTTTTGGCATTAACACTGCTATGTTAAGGCACAAAAAAGCAACGCAAATTTCTTAATGACCGAGTTAAGTCTTTCCTGTCCATTCATGGACAAAATCGGTACAACATACTTTTATACTGTACAGCAATAACAAAAGTATTATAATGTGCTGATGTAAAAGGAGATTACAAGAAAGAAAGAAAGAAAAATAATCCTAAATCCAATGTAATATCTGAATCTGAATATCAATTTAACTGAATTTCTAAACATCTATCTATTAAATATATATCTGAATATCTAACCATCAAATGTGTATTTGATGATCTATCCATCTATCTGAATATTTGTCCATCAAATATCTACCTGAATATCTATATCTTTAATATCCATCCACCTGAGAGCTTCTCACAGAAGGAAACGGATTCATTTCCAAGCAGCTATAACAAATTCTGTATTAAAATTTGACAAGAAGCATGCAAAGATCTAAATGACACATTAACAGCGGTTCTGCCTCCGGTGTGGTTCGCCAAAAACACCAGCAATGGATCACAAACACACAAAAGCGCTCTTAAACCGTGTCGATGTCGACTGTAATTCTCCTCTTAATCGTCAACATGTTTAAAGAGATGTGGTGGTGACTAAAAAAGACAGAGACCAAGGCAAACAAATACATTTGAGCTCTTTTATTAACTGATATTCATCCAGCTGCATGTGAGTGTTTATGTGTGTGTGTGTTAGATCTTGTTGAACGCCGCAACATCCACACTCTGAACCTGCAACACAAAACAAACACGTCAAGCTTTGGGTGACACTTGAAGACTAAAGCACGCAGTTTATGGAGACGTTACTCACATAGTCCTCAAACTTGGTGATCTCCTCCTCCAGGAAGTCTGTTCCCACCTTGTCGTCCTCCACCACGCAGTTGATCTGCAGTTTCTTGATGCCGTAACCCACAGGAACCAGTTTGGAGGCTCCCCACAGCAACCCATCCACCTGCACCGACCGCACACACTCCTCCAGCTTCGCCATGTCCGTCTCGTCGTCCCACTGCGAACGCCAGGAAAAACGGTTTAAAAACCTTGAGAAGCCTGGCCAGAAAGATCGAAGTCATTTTAAAAGGTTTTAAGGTAATTCAGTCTATCGGACAAATGGATAGACTTTCATGCGGTTGCTAGGGTATTACGAATTAATGCTTAGTGGTTGCTAGGGTGTTCTATGCGATTGCAAAGGTGCTGTTAGGATGTTCTGGGTGGTTGCTAGGTTGTTCTAAATGGTTGCTAGGCGATTTCTAAGGCGTTCTGGGTGGTTGTTAGGGCACTGCTAGGGGTTTTGGTTGGTTGCTAGGTGTATTCTGGAAGGTGTTTTATGTGGTTGCTATGTGTTACTGGGGTGTTCTGGGTGGCTCTGACGGTTGCTAGGTGGTTGCTATGGTGCTCTAGATGGATGCTAGGCAGTTTCTAGGTGGTTGCTAGGTTAGTTGAAGTAATAAAGTAATTGAAATAAAGCTGAAGTGCTAGGGTGTTTCAGGTAGCTGTTAAGTTGTTTCTATGTGGTTGCTAAGCGGTGGCTAGGGTGTTTCAGGTAGCTGTTAGGTTGTTTTTATGTGGTTGCTAAGCGGTTGCTAGGCTGTTCCAGGTAGCTGTTAGGTTGTTTCTATGTGGTTGGTAAACGGTTGCTAGGGTGTTTCAGGTAGCTGTTAAGTTATTTCGATGTTCTGGGTGGTTGCTAGGTTGTTCTAAATGGTTGCTAGGCGATTTCTAAGGCGTTCTGGGTGGTTGTTAGGGCACTGCTAGGGGTTTTGGTTGGTTGCTAGGTGTATTCTGGAAGGTGTTTTATGTGGTTGCTATGTGTTACTGGGGTGTTCTGGGTGGCTCTGACGGTTGCTAGGTGGTTGCTATGGTGCTCTAGATGGATGCTAGGCAGTTTCTAGGTGGTTGCTAGGTTAGTTGAAGTAATAAAGTAATTGAAATAAAGCTGAAGTAAAACTTAAATATTAAATTAAAAAAACTACACTTGAATGAAAATTTAAAATAAGTTAAAATTGAAGTAAAAAGAAAGTAGTTAAAAAATGTTAAGAACTAAAACTGAAAAAAGATTAAACTAAATGAAAATAAAAGATCAAACTAAAACTAAAAATTTTAAATACAAAAATAAAAGTGAATTGAAAATATTAATAAATGGTAAATAATATTAATAAATACCAAATTATTGGTGCTGAAATAACACTGATTGCTTTTGGGTTACATGGTTGCTAGGGTGGTTCCAGGTATCTGTTAGGTTGCTTCTATGTGGTTGCTAAGCGGTTCTTAAGGTGTTCCAGGT